TTATGTTTACTATAAAAGGGAGACTATACAGAGATGGTTGGTGTTTGCAACAATTAGGTATTGTTTTACTGAAATGTACCTTCTTAAAAGCAAACCTGAGGCATAGTTGTAAAGCAGATTTAATGATTATCAGCAACACAGCTGCTGTAACTATTAATCTTAGTGGAATTAAGTCTTTTGTTATCTGGATCACATAACCAGTAACTGAACTTTTATACTTGTAGCTATGCAAGATCCTTATTAAGACATAATGTAATACAAGTAGAAGAGAGATGTCTTAAAGTATTTTCATATATGGCCTTAAGAAGAGCAAAATATTTGTTATATAGAACTAGAATGATAGCATTATCACAGTTATGCATATATTGTTAATATTTTTTTAGCCCTTTAATTGTTTTTTTTTAATTTTACAGCATAAATTAGCCAAGCCTACTACCTTCCCTTATCCAAAAAAGGAGATATGAGGGTATTTTTTCTACACCACCTCTAACTTCCCGTTACCTCTAGTTTTTCAGTTTTTGTTTTTGGCTTACATCAGAGTACATACCATGTAGCTTGGAATGGAAAAGATTTTTGCATATGTGGCCTCAGTTACAACTCCTATAGCCTGGTTAATATGGTTTCTTTCAGTCTGTGTATTGTAACAAAATCTCACTAAGGTATGTGTCTTTAATCTTACTGATTAAAATGGAATTTTATCAGTAACTTTATCTTTGCTGCCTTATAGTCTTTCAAGTATAGGTGGTATAGTGATAAAAAAGAAAGAGGTACATATTGTACCTCTGTAATCTTAAAACCAAAAATGATCATTTAAAAATGGATAGATATACATTTGTCTTATTTCCTCTCTTTTTTTTGTGTAGAGATAATTGTTCAGTTTTACTTGTATTCACGTGTGGGTGTATGTGTGTGTGTGGAATTCTATCGTGTTTAATTTTTTTTCTTTGTATATTTGTATATCTGCCATTTTGTCAAGATACTAAATAGCTCCTTATCACAGGGGTCTCCGTGTTGCCCCTTTAGAACACCTGCTTCTCTCTCAGCATTTCATTTTCCCTCCCTATCTCTAACCCCTGGAAATCACTAATCTTGCCCCCATTTCTAAAGTTTTGTCATTTCAAAAATGTTATATAAATGAAATCATATACCTGAGGTCAACTATTTTAACTTAGTATCATTCCTTGGAGAGTCATCCAAGTTTGCTTAAATCAATAGCTTATTCCTGTTTTACTTGTTTTTTATATTTAAGTTAGAGAACTTCATAGTTGAAAACATAGTTCTCTACCTTGATTCCTTCCTAATCTATTTTTAACATAAGTATATTTGTCTTAAATCTAGGTGACAAAACACGACCACCTTCCTCAAGCCCCTCTGCTATTATCCGCCGCACTTCCTCTCTGGATACACTTGCTGCTCCGTACCTTGCAGGGCATTGGCCTCGTGACAGTCATGGGCAGGCTGCTCCTTGCATGAGGGACAAGGCTACACAGGTAGGTGTATTACAGTTCTTATTCTGAAGTGCTCAAGTTCTTATTCTGAAGTGCTTTACTCTGAAACCGTTTTCCATAACATTATTTGTTCTGCTCTGTGCTCAAATTCTTAAAACAATAGTGTATATTAGAATAACTTGAAAAGCTTATCAAAAGTGCAGATTACCAGTCCACATAGATGTACTGTAGTAGACTTTGGTTGAGGTGTGGGAAACTACATTTTAAATAGTTTCCACAGTAATTCCCATACATAGGTGTAATTTCCAGACATGTTTTTCTCCCACTTATTCTCTATAGTTTAGAACAAGGGTCGGCAAACTTTTGAGACTGAACGTGTCCAAAGAGGTGCATGGAGCTTGCAAGCCGCAGTTTGCCAACCACTGGTTTAGAACATCATGTTTAATATATGGAATTTGCACGTAAAAATTTATAACAGTATGGAATACTTTACTTTCCACCTAACCTTATACAGCAGGTCCTTGAATATTGTCTTTTCGTTATATTATTGAGATGCCGTAGGAACATAACACTTGTTTATATCAATTAGCCTATGGTAAAATTGGTTTCATTATACATCGTTTGGCTTAAAGTCGCAGAGCCTATCAACAACATTAAATGGGAACTTAACTGTATGTTTGTGCCAAAAAATCTTTATATGTTGTAAGTAAGGATTATATATACTACATTGCTAATAGATTCTATAAATGTAAATAATCCTGACAAAATTTTACACTTTTAGATTTATAAAATATTTTAATTTAAAGGCTCTTAAGAAATCATTTAGATCTACTTTTGAGTTTTGCAAATTTGGAAGCTGAGATCCAAGATCATAAAGCCAATTAATGACTGCATCTCAGTTTCTTGTAGTTTCTTTTATAGCATCTACCACAATTATAATTAATTAAATATTTTTATAATCATTTAATGTATATCATATTATTGGGTTGTCGGAAAAGTCATGATGCATTTTTGCAACGAAAAACAGAAAAAAATACGTCATAACTTTTCTGACAACCCAATAGATGGTGAACCCATGAAGGCTGGCTTGTCCATTTTTGTATTTTTATCCGTACTGTACCTGATAGAATAAACACTGAAGGAATATTTGCAAAGGAATGAATGAGCAGAAAAGAACAGTTACAGCTTTATTGCCAGTGAAGAATGAAAACCATTTAAAGAGGGGCGGCTAGATGGCTCAGTTGGTTAGAGCACGTGCATTTAACAACAAGGTTGCTGGTTGGACTCCCACATAGGATGGTGGGCGGAACACTCCCCGCCCACCTCATCCCCCCCCCCCC